ATCTATTCAGTCCTTGTTTTTGTGGATTATTCCATTGAAATTCTTCTTAAAGGGGAATTTTAAGAGTCCCCCTTAAAATTTCTTGCAGAGCTGGTTTGGAGGTCACATATTCTTTCAGTTCCTGCCTGTCTTGGAAGCTCTTTATCTCTCCTTCCATTTTGAATGAGAGCCTTGCTGGAATTCTTGGTTGCATGTTCTTCTCATTTAGGACCCTGAATATATCCTGCTAGCCCTTTCTGGCCTGCCAGGTCTCTGTGGAGAGGTCTGCTGTTACCCTAATATTCCTCCCCATAAAAGTCAGGGATTTCTTATCTCTTGCTGCTTTAAGGATCTTCTCTTTATCTTTGGAATTTGCAAGTTTCACTATTAAATGTCGAGGTGTTGAACGGTTTTAATGATTTTAGGGGGGATCTCTCTATTTCCTGGATCTGAATGCCTGTTTCCCTTCCCAGATTAGGAAAGTTTTCAGCTATGATTTGTTCAAATACATATTCTGGCCCTCTGTCCCTTTTGGCGCCCTCAGGAACCACAATTAAACGTAGGTTTTTCTTCCTCAGGCTGTTGTTTATTTCCCTTAATCTGTCTTCATGGTCTTTTAATTGTCTCTTTTTTCCTCAGTTTCCCTCTTTGCCATCAACTTGTCTTCTGTGTCACTCACTGGTTCTTCCACCTCGTTAACCCTCATCGTTAGGATTTCTAGTTTGGATTGCATCTCATTCAATTGATTTTTAATTTCTGCCTGATTGGATCTAAATTCTGCAGTCATGAAGTCTCTTGAGTTATTTATGCTTTTTTCTAGAGCTGTAGTAGCTCTATAATTTCTAGTAGCTGTATAATAGTGCTTCTGAATTGGCTTTCTGACATTGAATTGTAATCCAGATTTTGTAACTCTGTGGGAGAGAGGACTGTTTCTGATTCTTTCTTTTGAGGTGAGGTTTTCCTTCTAGTCATTTTGCTTAGTGCAGAGTGGCCAAAAACAAGTTGTATTGGGAAAAGGAGCAAAAGAGAGGAGAGAAAGAAGGAAAGAAAAGAGAAAAAGAAAAAAGGAAGAAAAAAAAAGGAAAAAAGAGAAGAAAAAGAGAAAAAGAAAGAAAGGAAAAAAAGGGGTGGGGCAAGCAATCAGAAATCAAAAACAAAAAACAAAAAAACAAAACAAAACAAAAAAACAACACGGGGGAGTATCTTCTGATTCTGTATACTTTAAGTCCCTTGACTTCCCCTGGAACTTGTCCGTCCAGCTGGTCTTCTGGGGGAGGGGCCTGCTGTGCTTATTTTCAGGTGTAAGCACTTGGGGGAGCTGCTCTATCCCCTGCCTGGTGCAGGGCTCAGTGGGGGTTGTTTACCCTGTGAGGCCCCAGGAGGAACTACCCCAGTGGCTGCGGCAGCTCTGGAGCCCTGGATTCAGCTCCCACAGTAACTCGGAGCTCTCCGTCTGCAGGGCCTGGAGGCTCCGGGGCAGGGCCGCTGATCTGCTCAGCTCCTGGCAGGAGCGTCCTTGCGGTCCTGGGCCCTCCTGGCCTCTGCCTGTCCCGGGGGGAGGCCGGATCCTGGGCTGTGTCCCGGCGCCCTGTGCTCAGGAGCCTGCGCTGTTGGATTCGCGCTCCGGCCGGGCAGCCCCCTCCGCGGAGCCGCCGCCCGAGCCCCGCCGAGCTGCTCCCAGAGCCGCGCAGCCCCCTCCGCGCAGAGCCTCTTCCTCTGCCGGAGCTGCCGCCGCTGAGCTGCTCCTGGGGCCGCGCAGCCCCCTCCGAGCAGAGCCGCCGCCCGAGCCCTTCCGAGCTGCTCCGGTCCCCAGTGCACGCGCGCTACAGCCCTTAGGGAGCTCGGCGCACTCTCCCGGGGCGCCGGTGTCTGTTAGTGTCCCTGGGAGCCCGAGGGCATCCCCGCCCTCCTGGGTCCTGCTCTAACTCCCTGCGAGCCCCTTTCCCCCCCGGGAAGGTTGGTGCAGCTCCTGCTTCTCCGGGACGGGGCTCTCCTGTCCTGGGGACACTCGTCCCGGCCTCAGCCCCGCTCCTCGCACCCCCCCCTTGGAGGCCTTTTGTTTCTTTATTTCTCTCCCCCCCCCCCCCCCCCCCCCGTCTTCCTACCTTGATAGAAGCACGAACTCTTCTCACTGTAGCGTTCCAGCTGTTCTCTCTTTAAACCTCAGGCCGAATTCGTAGATTTTCAGGATGATTTAAAGGTTATCTAGGTAATTTGGTGGGGACAGGTGATTTGGGGACCCTACTCTTCCACCATCTTGCCCCTCCCCCTTCAAGAAGCATTCTTGTTCTTATGATAATGATCTGAGAGTTGTGCTTACTTTGGTTTTCAAAACTGAGACCAATTATTTATTAAACATGGACGTACAGTAAATATATACCTTTTAGGAAAGAGTTGGCTGTACTTTGATATTTGTGAAGATTTTTTTTTGTTTCGGTCTCATCAGCTGATATTCATGACTTTTATATATTCAAAACTTCATGACTCGATTGCTATTAGGAAGATACATCAGGATTCTAATGGATTGCCAGGTTTTTTTTCCTAAAGAGCAATTGATACAGCAATATATTTATAAAATTTAGAGTGTTCATTTGCTACTTCAATGCAGAAGAATGATGCCCCAAATACATACTTTATATTATTTTACATCAATGTTATATCAGCTACAAACAACATGCAATTTAGGTTTTCTTCATATATTTTATATTACAGGGTCTTCAATTTTATATAGAAAAGTAGATATATACAAAGCCTATTTATAAAAGGGCCTCTTCTATCTTTGATGCAGTATCAGTCAGCTGTATGATTTCATGTATACACTAGCAACAAAGGTAGAGCATGAAGTGATAATACTGCTTTTCAAAAAACTTCAAATACTATCAATATAAAAAGATACATTGAAAATAATATCTCTTGATCCTTTGAAGACGTATACTATCAAATAAATTATCTAAGTGTTTTAATTTTGAATTATTCTCTATAGTAAATATTATGATTTAGAGTAATGTCTGAAAAGTGTTAATGACTTGCTGCTTTTCCCACGAATTCAAGAAAAGTTGTTGATCTTTTTCATTGTGTTGAGCTTTTTACTTGTTAGGATGAAAGGTGACTCCAACCTCCTTACATACACAATCAGAATCTAGAAGTTTGTATGATTTTTTTAAGAGTTTATTTTTTCATTCATGAGAGACAGAGATATAGGCAGAGGGAGAAACAGGCTCCCTGTGGGGAGTCCAATGGGGGACTCCATCGATCCCCAGACACAGGATCACGCCCTGAGTTGAAAGCAGAGGCTCAACTTCACCCAGGCGTCCCTGTATGATGTGTTTTTACAAGTGTTTATCTTCAGCCAAATTTGGTTCCAATTCTCTTGTTAATTCAAGCATTGATGAGAGCAAGATTACTGAGGATTGGAATAGAAAAGAAAAAAGCAAATATAGTTATCCTTAGCCCTTTGCAAGTTAAACTGGATATCATTCGATTATTTTGTTGACTGCTGCTTCTTCAAAAGAATTTTGCTCTCCCTGGAAAAACATATCCAGGGTTGTTAATTTTCACTTCTGTACTGTGTAGGAGAGAGGATAGTGGTACATAGTGGACTTTGAACAGTTAATGACCACTCAAAGAGATAATGACAGTTGTTATATAGAATGATCTGTAGTTGTAGAAAATGGTTTTACATTCATTATCTTATTTGGTGTTCACACTATTTAGAATGGTTGATAGAGAGGTTTATCAGAGAGGTTTTCCTCTGCTTTGTAACTGAGGAAACTGAGAAACTATTATTCTTGTCCAAGTTGTTGTGTTGTAGTAAATAGTAGAGCTTACCTGAAGATGAAAGGCTCTGGTTCAGAGGATTGTGTACTTTCTACTGAACCAGTTTTTTTTTTTTGTTTGTTTTGTTTTTCAGAACTAGGACAAGTAGATGGTGTCTGGCATTTAGCAGCATAGAATGTGTGTCTTTATCATTGTTTTGCCTTGGGATCTTGGAAATAATGAATTGACTGTTTTTTACTGTGTACTCTGTTTTGATAGCAATTTATGTCTCATAGATTTGTAACACTTTAAATGCTTGAAAAGAAAGATTTCTTTGATTATTTTATTCTTAAAAAATTTATATATTTATATATTTAATCTTAAAAAATATTTATTTCTGAGGGAGGGAGGGGGGAAAAGGGCAGAGGGAGAAAGATCTCAAGCAGGCTGCACTGAGTGTGGAGCCCAACCAGGGATTGACCCCATGACACTGAGACCATGACCCAAGCCAAAATCAAGAGTAGGACACCCGGGATCCCTGGGTGGCGCAGCGGCTTAGCGCCTGCCTTTGGCCCAGGGCGCGATCCTGGAGACCCGGGATCGAATCCCACGTCGGGCTCCCTGCATGGAGCCTGCTTCTCCCTCTGCCTGTGTCTCTGCCTCTCTCTCTCTCTCTGTGACTATCATAAATAAATAAAAATTAAAAAAAAAAAAAAGAGTAGGACACCCAACTGACTGAGCCACCCAGGCACCCATTTAATTATTTTTATTTCAATTTCTTATTATTTATCATTATTATTATTACCCATTTTTATTTACTTTGTTATTTTTACTTATAACTTTATCATTGTCATTACTTTAATGAGACATTACATTATAAACACATTTCATACTTTGAGTGGAAGGAAAGGGCAAATTCAGGAAAGTAGAAAAATGGATGCCAGAATTTAGACATTTAAATCAGTGCTACCTTTCCAGGAGTCTAATCTTGAGAAGCTATATACTTGCTGCCATCGCTGAAAACATCCAGTGGAACTCATTTATTAAATGGCTATAGATATACAAAGACGTTACCTATTCAACATGTAAATATTAGTCAACTCAATCGGTAGTTGTTGGGTTTAATGATACTGATAATTAACATTCAGAACCTTTTTACTAGTATGTGTAGATTCAGAAACAATGGTTTTGATGAGTATTTTTGTAGAGTAGATTGATAGACTGGGTTATCTTTAAATTAATGATTGTTTTTTTTCCCCCCTTAGTCAGCAGATAAGCAGCGAGCTCTAGAAGAAACCAAAGCCTACACCACCCAGTCCTTAGCAAGTGTTGCCTATCTGATAAATACCTTGGCCAACAATGTCCTACAGATGCTGGATATTCAGGCATCCCAGCTACGGAGGATGGAATCTTCAATCAATCATATTTCACAAGTGAGACCACACTGTTTTTCTATTTTGCCTATGGGGAACACTTTTTTAAACACAGGCAGTCTATATAATTCTGGCAGCATTTACTGTGTGAGTTAGCTTGCTTGTATGATTTGGAAAATACAAATTCAATATCAGGTTGTTTTTTATTTTTGTGGAGTCATTATCTTCTCTGATTTTGACAGGGAAGCAAATTTTAATGGTTTCTATTAAAATTCAGTAGTTAAAGTAAGCCTTTAGGTGAAAATTTGTCTGGTTTCTTCTAACTTTTACCAAATTTCATGTTTGTTTATCTTTTTAAAAAATTTAGTGTGATAACCTGATCACTTCTTTAATTTTTTTTTTTCTGTTGGTAGGATTTTTGTTTACCAGGATGGAACCTCAATAATGGAAATAATGGAAATAATTAATCTAAGTGAACTTAAAAAATTATCTTTATATAAGATTTAAAAAATTTTAATGTTATACTTTTTCCTTTTTAATAGCCATTCTCATATAGAAAAATAAAATGAAAAAAAAACTTCATCCAGGGTTCAAACTTTTTACCTTTAATATTTTGTTTTACTTTGCTCCAATACATTTTTTCCTTTAAATAGTTTTTAAAATGTAGCTGTGATTATATTACGTATAGAGTTTTGGATTTTGCTCTGTTAATTTACTATGACAACAGATGTCTTTCCGTGATGTTATAAGCTCTTCATAAACATTTTCAATGGCTGTATCATGTGTATATATGTCATACCTTTCATAACCATTTCTGTATTTTGGAGCCATCTAAATACTTCAGTGAAAAGCCAATTTGTAATTGCAAAATTTAAAAAACATTAAAAAGTAAAGGTTTTGATCTGCCTGTTTGTTTCTCTGGCGAGATCTTGGAGCTTTTCTAGTTTAGCACTCTTATTTGAGTAACGATGTAGTTAGTATTCAACATTCTTTTAGATCTAAATAATTAGAAGTTTTCTGGAATAGCAAATTTTAAAATGTCCATTATAAAAAATGTACATTATATTTTCTTTTTGTTTATCTTAAGAGTTCAGGACTCTTCTGAAATTGACTAATCGAACAATTTTTCAAAGTCTGAAGCTTAACTTGTGTAATTAAATAAAATCAGTTGAGATAATCAAATCAGATATTGGAGAACTCCCATATATTTCTATTATTTGAAAGTTCATCAGACTAATTTAAAGAGATTTCTTGTTATTTAATACTAAATTTGATCTTAAATATGAATTTGTCACTGTAGGGTTTTCTTTACATCCCATATAAACTTTTATTTATTTTTTTAAGTAGGCTCCATGCCATGTGGAGCTCAATGCGGGGCTTGAATTCATGACCCTAATCAAAAACTGAGCTGAGAGCGTGAGTCAGATGCTTAACCAACCGAGCCACCCAGGCACCTCCCCCCAATATAAACTTCTATAGAGATTGTATAACTTACTGCTTGTTATATTGCTGTGTCTCTTAAAGTAAAAAAACAACAAAACAACTCCAAAGAATTGGTGAGGGGTTTTTTTTTTGTTTTTTTTTTTTTGTATTGATGAGTTTTAATGAATGAGAGGGAGATTTTATTTGGAAGAGATCCCTTAGAAGAAATAATAATGATGAAATAGATGAACTTGTTTTCTATAGAAGGAGGAATGTTGACAAATTACTGATCTGATGAGAATTTTGAAGTTTACACTTGAAAGTCTTAAAATTTCTGCATGTTTGAAGTCCTTAGGAAAGGACCCAAAAAGAAAGTGAGAAGAAAAGTGCAAACGCAGAAGAGAAATTCATATATTAGAGTTCTTAAAAAGGATGAATAGTTTGTTATTAGTTTGTAAGAGAGTGTATAAGACTGTGAAGGTAGAAGATAATAAGCAAATAACAGTGAAAGATAATCATCTTTTTTTTTTTAAGTAATCTCTCTACCTAATGTGAAGCTTGAACTCATGACCCTGAGATTGAGAGTCAGATGTTCTACCAACTAAGCCAGCCAAGTCGCCTGATAGTCATTTTTTTTAAAGTCATTTGTTTTTTGATTAGAATTCTGTACTCCTTTGGTAGAGAAGAGTAGCAATCTTGAGGAAGGTGTATAAATCTACCTAAGTTGTAATTATATGTATTAATTCAGTTAATAAGAACATTTTATTTTTAGTATCATATTAATCTATTTATAGTTAATAGGTCTAATTAGTAGTGTGTTTTAAAGCAGGTTTAAAGGAGTAATTGAAAAATGGGAAAGATGAATGGATAAAGATTCAGTAGATCAGAAATAACAGGGGACTGAGTCAGAGCCTTGAATATGTTGAACCTTTTTTTCTAAAAATTTTTTATTCATTTTGTTTTAATTTTTATTATTTATTTTGAATCATCTTCATTTGGAATTGAGTAGTCCCAGGATGACTGAGGGATCTGCAGCTGTAAATACCTGTTAAGTCTATACAAAATAGCATGTTGGGGGGGAGGTTGAATAGGAGAAATGGGGTGATAGAAGGCTATATCTAAGAAATCAGTGAATTTTATTTTATTTATTTTTTATTTTTTTATTTTTAAAGATTTTATTTCTTCATGAGAGACACAGAGGAAGAGAATGTAGGCAGAGAGAGAAGCAGGCTCCATGCAGGGAGCCCAATGTGGGACTCAATCCTGGGATTCCAGGAATACGTCCTGGGCTGATGCTCAACCACTGAGCCACCCAGGCATCCCAAAATCAGTAAACTTTAAAAAATTATATATTTTTTTACCATTTGCTTTAAGGATTGAAATATCTTTCAATTATGTTTAATGAATAGGTAGAGTCCTTTGTTTTAAAAGTCAATTGAACATCAAAGCTATTTGATACTATTTAGACTGAAAGATTATAGTATGAGAAAACATTTTCTGTGTATAAAGCAAATACTTAGTAAGCATTCTAAATAAAAGGACTGGCAAGCTTTTTCTCTAAAAGGCCAGGTGGTAAATACTTGAAGTTTTGTGGTCCAGGTATGTGGTATCAATCTCATGTTCTTTGTGTGTATATGTTTTTAAACAACTTTTCAAAAATGTAAAAAAACTATTGTTAGTTTGTATGTGATATAAAAGCAGTCTGAAGGCCAGATTTGGCATGTAAGCTGTAGTTTGTAAGCCCTTATTCTAAAATACGTTTTTTTCCCAAGTGTTTGGTACTTATATTATTACGCTTTATTTAAAATATTATTATATTTTTAGAGGGAGCCAGAAAGGTCTTCCAATATATTGAGACTAGATTTTTTTTTCAATTGGAGCAAAAATACTAGATTCAGAGAATTTGGAGAGAAGATTGGATGGAGATTCATTCAGGTCAAAGACAAGATCACGTGTTTATTGGAATGGTAGTAGGTATCAAGAATTGTTTTGTAAGTGTTGTCTGGTAGAGTGGTTCAGGACTAGGAGATACTAGATCTTTGGGGTATTTCTTTCCTTATCAGTATCTTTTTCCTGTTTCCTGGGTAAGAACCTTATACTTTTCAGCCTCTTAGTGCTCTAGCTCTTTTGTCCATAGGTTTAGGAGTGGAGAGGGTAAAGGATCTAGATTTTACTTTGGTTCTTCTGCTGACTTGCTTGATATTTGACTTACTTGAACTTCAGTTTTCTCGTCTGTAAAATGGTAAGACTGATTAGATGATTTCTGAGCTATCTTTCAATTTGAATTCTTTATTCTTTTGAGATTATCACAAATGAACTTGATTTATATTTGCTTTCTTTCTTTTCTGCTGACTTTGCTATTCACCTGTCTGTGCTCACTGACCTCAACCTTCTATCACTCTGATATAACAGCTGTTTCCTGCAACAGGAAACAACTATTCAGAAATTATTCTGATTTATAATCTGAGGATGGGAATTCAACTCTACCACTATATATCAGGAAGGTGTATCAGGAAACATACATAGTTGTGTTCAACACAACAAAATAATAACTCCTTCTCTAAAAGTTGAAAGTTTTGAAAAACAAGATAGAATTGATTATGGCTACTTAGTATCAGACTGTTTTTGTAGTAAATGGATAATAATAGCATTAAGTAGTGTAGTAATTTATACCACACTCACTATATCCAACAGAAGTATTAGGAGAGGTTCTTGATGTGGATTACCTTAGGTATTTTAAGGATGTCAAATTTATTTTTATTTCTTAAGATTTTTATTTTTAAGTCATTTCTATACCGATTGTAAGGCTTGAATTTTTAACCCTGAGGTTATGCTCCACTGAGTGACCTAGCCAGGTGCTCCAAGGATGACAATTTTTTTTAAAGATCTTAGTTATTCATGAGAGACAGAGAGAGAGAGGTAGAGACACAGGCAGAGGGAGAAGCAGACTCCCCACGGAAAGCCCAATGTGGGACTCAATCCCGGGATCCCAGGATCACGCCCTGAGCCAAAGGCAAACGCTCAACCACTGAGCCACCCAGGTGCCCCGGCAATTTTTTAAAAATTTATTTTATTTTTATTTTATTTTTTAAAGATTTTATTTATTCATGAGAGACAGAAACAGAAGAGAGAGGTAGAAACACAGGCAGAGGGAGAAAAGCTGGTTCCATGCAGGGAGCCCGACAGGGGACTCGATCCCGGGTCTCCAGGATCAGGCCGTGGGCTGAAGGTGGCACTAAACCACTGAGCCACCCGGGCTGCCCTATTTTTTTTTTTTTTCAGAGAAGAATCTAATCTGATTCTAATACTTAAAGATTTTTTTAAAAAAGATTTTTATTCATTTATGTGACAGAGCAAGAGAACACAGTGGGGGGAATGGCAGAGGGAAAGGGAGAAGCAGGCTCCTCGCTGAGCAGGGTGCCCAACTCAGGGCTTGATCTCCAGGACCCCAGGATCATGACTTGAGTGGAAGGCAGACACCTAACTACTGAGCCACCCAGGTGCCCCAAGATTTATTTTAGAGAGAGAGCGAGAGAGAGCACATGCATGCTTGTGAGCCTGTGGGGAAGGGCAGAAGGAGAGGGAGACAAGCCGACTCCTGGCTGAGCAGGGAACCTGATGCAGGGCTCTGTTCCAGG